GGAATACTATCTGATACAACGTACCTCAGGGTAAGCACACAATCGGAAGCAAAGGTTCTGTGTTACGTCTGGCCAGACAGAAGTCCTAGAACAAGTAGAAATTCCGTAGTAGTATTGGTTCCCATGCGACCCATGTCGGTGAACATACGACAACTGAGAGGATTTACATTCAACATTGAACAAGTCGAAAGTGGTGGACGCTGGAACACTTGATAGGCACGACATGGAACGGCCATGCCGGCGTTGTCACTCCGTAACTTATCACTTCGCACAGTAAATATATTATTCTATACAGGGCCTAAATGTGTTCTTTAGGGGCGCTAAACATCATATTAGTGATTGATACAATAGGAGTCAGCATAGATAGTGATGGAATTTCCACATAAGACCTTATTGATTGGGTATTTACAACATGGCAAATGTGTAAATGTGGATTGGGTTATTCTGGTTGTGAATATAAATGCACTAACATCTACCTAGACCACTATCCGACAAGTCCTTCTTAAGGATTTCGGTCACAACCCCTACTTGACACCGACCGACGCAACGCTAAAGTACACGGCGGTAGAAGACGTTTTCAGACCAAGCTAGCAGAAAAAAAAACTCGAAGTAACCGCAATCTCTACAGATTATTGACCGGGCAAAAGCCAGTGAACAAGGTGGTCTGTATTCTTAAAGCACAGATCCTCAATGTCAGATTCATAGACCAACTAAACCGGAAGCCTGAAAACGTGGAACACATTTCAGGCATAGTGGCAGTTGACTGCTGGGAGATACCTGAATCCCGGGTAAGAGCTCAGGAGAATAAGATATCTGGGCTCAAGTGATGTGAACAGGGAAACAAGAAGCCCTGACAAACTACCAAAGCTGTTTTTCGGGGCGTTATTCCATTTTATTCAAGGTCTGTAAAACACTGACATTCATTTTTGTCCCTAATTTATTCTACAGAACATAAGCTTTCGTTCGATGTATGATTCATTGCCATACTCTTTTTTGTTCCGAAACTGCTGTAATTTAAACATCATATCTTGCACCCTATTTTCTACTCTAATTCCCAGCTTTGAACATAATTTTATTTTTCCTAATTATTGTACGTTGTGGTTGGGTTATTCACTTAGTTATTCATGTACCTTTTTACACTAATCCGAACTTAAATCAGGATATCGGGAATAGGTCGAGTAGTGTTCCATTTGTCTTGTCTTCTCTCGTTCGCGTGCTTGTCAGCCAATAAGCTGATAGGATGATTTTCTCTCTACTCCACTTCGAACTCACGCGTACTAGCCTCAAGGTTAGGTCGGTCAGCCTATCGCATCAAGGTCTTAATCTGTATTAGATAAGTATCCTCAGCACCAAAAGTGGGTAGACAGACCAAAGGACATAACACCAGGAATGTCACCAGGATGTGAAAACTCCAACTTGTAATCCTGAAGTGTTGCGTGGAATCTATCAGCATGCCAGTATGTGACCTTGTCGTAAACACGCTAGGTTCACACCAACTACCAAAAGAGTGAAAGAGGGCCATTTCCTCCCCGATCTTCAAAAAACGTGATAGAAAGTACCCAGCTTGTTGCACATCAATCTCACTACCCCCCTTCAAATGCAGTAGAAGGTAGTGGAAGAACTGGTCAATGAATAAATGAGGGAATACAAGGGTAGAAACAACACCCACCATGAAGCCCAACAGTGATTCAGGAAAAAGCAGGTCATGTGCATCAGTCTCCTCATAGCATGAAACTGCTGTGCGTGAAGACAAGTTTTACAGAATGGTCACGCCTGAAAGGCTGAACCGTGCCTTCGCCATTGTTGGCCTTCTCTCTGCGCTAAACCTTTAATACCTATTTTCTCTGTTATTTCATGTTCAGCTTTGCAGATTGTGTGGTTAGGACCAATACCACTACATACCAAGCACTCCAAGTCACCCCAACCCTAACATATTACCAGAACATCATCACCACGCTCTTCGAGGCAACCGTCAGAAGATTGCAGATCAAATTGCGAATACCTAAGTACATTCTCAATTTTTCTCATTAACACTTGTCCCCATTTAGAATGCTCTCCAGCCGAAGTGGCCATAGCTCCATCAGTGGATAGCCTTGAGAGGACACTTGACAATCAAATCCTTACTCATGGATTCCCATCTGAAGGCTGCTATTAAACGCAACTCAATTTCGTAAATGTGGCCTTTAGCTTAGCAACCAATCAGAATGAGGCGGCAATTATTATATCCGCCATCTTTGTAAGCAATGGTGGTCAGGTTTCCTCGTTCTGTGCTTCTTTCAGCTATTTCTTTTGTGTAGCTACAGAATTTAATGTTTCAGTGAGCTAAAATGCAGAGGTTAATGTAATACTCTGATTGTTGGGGCAAAATTTTTCCTCATTTTGCTTTGTTTTCTGGGTTTTGGCTGCTGCTACTGAAGTCAGTGTATTTCTTCAGCCAAGCTGGCTAGTCTTATCGGTTTTGTTTTGACTTGTTTTCTAGATATCCAAAGCCAAGTTCGTTTTTCTAGCTAAAATAATTGTTGCTGCCGCCTGTGACTCTAACTGTACGCATGTTCGTCCCTAACTGTCCTTTATGATGTTATCGGCAAAATGAAAGGATACAATCTCCGGTTTTTAATTTTCTTCAGTACTATGGACAACACTATCCCACCGAGTCAAACTAATATAGAGTGCCCAGCAGTAGGGGATATCAGTACTGTTTTCGGAAGGACTCAGACTTCCCATAACCACAGATGCTACCAATCTATTGCAAAGGGTTTGTTATGTAAAATATACCATGTATCAGTAATAGAAGAGTTGTACCCAGTACGTCGTGCGTTAAAGCAAGCTTGACATTGAAAAGCCGGAAATCTGCTGTTAGTGTGTAGTGTATGTTTGCTGTTTTGGCAAAAAAAGTAAGCCGAAGGGTCATGATCAGGGAGTAAAAAGGTAATTAACTGTTGTTAAGCTCACTTTCTTATACATCGTATTTCACCACTCGCGAATTTGTGCATTTTTACGGTATGATGTCAACCCGTACCTAATATGTTCACCCTTACACTGAAAAGAACCTGCAAATTTTCACCTTCATATTGGAATTATTTGGGATAACCGACTTCCAGTTTGAGTGCTTCGTACGCCCTGGGAGACTAGATTCCTACATTATTCGTAGTTCCAGTATAACTTTCTCACGCAGTAAGTTCAAAGTAGACACCAGTCTTTCTAAATAAGCCTGTTGGGCTGATATCCGTATTCTCTATTTCAGTTAATCGACGAAGACTTGTACCACGTGTATCTGCTGTATACTGCCATTTTACTCCAATTCTGTTATATTTTCTGAAAAATAAAGTTGCTATATGCAGCAAATACAGACTTATTTGTCTTGATGGAGGTAGGGGGGTTCATGGGATTTTTAGCAGGACTGTATTAATATTCTCGCCAAGGAGCTAAGCGAGTGCGTAGACCAATGTAAGGTACCATACAGGGTGCCTTTGAGTTACTAGTGTTCCATTAGTGTGGGTAGGGGCATTGCTTGTTTACCATGTGGCATTTGAGTAAGGAGCTATAAGATTAGACGCGGGTGCGGTTAGGATGTGTAACGCGTGTCCATCCATCAGCTGCCGTGACAACTTATGGTGGTTAGAATAAGTTATGAGAGGACCCGAGTCTGTAGGTTTCCCAAGAAAACGACGAAGATATGTACTAAATCACTTAAATTTACTACATATGAACTAGATGCTGAGAGGCTCGTATATCACAAGTTTCTTGCAACGATTAAGTAGATAAAACAAAGTAGCATTAGATTCAAAAATTTATTCAGGAACTTTCATTAAGAATCGAATATCAAACAAAGGCTTTGTAGATCGCCAACGTAGATGATCTATGTCGAAATGATTGGAGGCCTACTCGAGTTAGACGTGAATGGTGTGACGAACCAGCTAACGTCAAAGTCACACCTCGTGGTCAGCACCTTACGTAGACTACCCCCATTGACGTATCAAGGTACTATAGGTGCTTTGAAGACTGTACAACACAAAGGACGTTATTACCGAAATGTATTAGTTAAAGTAGATACAAGCGAAAGTAAGACCACTACCGCATGGCCCCTACAGTTTAAACGAAGTCCCGTTTAAAAGTTGCACTGGTAAAGTTAAGCTGCAGTCTTTGCTGTTTTTTTCAAACGAAAGGGTAGAAGAAGTAACCCAAAAAGTACTGGAAGTGGTTGTGAGACTAAAATGGACATCCAGCATCCTCTTTATAGTCTGCTGTTAGTTGGGTCTCCCGTAAACAGTTTCATAGGGCCATAGTTCTATGGGCGAAACAGATCTTACGTACAGTGCAACGCAGTCAGACGTGGCGAATAAAAATTAAAAACAGAGAAAAATTAACAACATAATCTAGTTATTTAATTAAAAATACATTATGAAATGACAAAATCTGTGGTTATTTGAACGCACAGATGACCGTTATTACTGGGCGAAACACTAAGTTTACGTGGTTGCGTTGTGGATAAATTCACCCCATCTGAACCATCTGAATGTCTTACAAATCACCATGGTAATTATTAACGTATAACCAGCACCTACTTCATATCTCACTTGTAATCATCTCCGTTTCCCTCTAATTGAATCACCTCCATCTACTTTCAAATTACCAACTAAGCGAATTATTTATTTGTTCATGAAACAATGGTCTTTTCTTAGCTCTTGGATTGCCATTTTATCATTTTTACATCACAAGCAACCAACCTCTTCTTGCCTGATTATGTGATAGCCACTGGTATCCAGAATCCCTACTTCCCTGAGAAAAATGCATAAACTCGATATGCAGTATATACTCTAGTGTCGGTTATATACGTGAACAGATCTAAGTAGTATGTAGCAAAGAAAGAAATTCTCGAGACTCTCATACATACAGCTACTCCACAAGCTAGAGTAAAAATGAAGAACATTTTCATTTTGCAAATTATTTGTTTTATTTGACGTAGCCAGTGTAACGTAAGGGTCATAAAAAACGTACTAACTTGAAATAGCGTGACAATTTGGTTAAATATCGTTTAATAATGCCCGAAGAAAATAAACCAATAAAAGTTAAAATTATTAGCATGGGAGATGAAGACACGGGGAAGGTATGTTTTCACTTCTGTTAAAATCCAGACCTGTCTGATCAAACGGTTTTGTGAGAAACGTTTTGTTTCCAAGTACTTACCAACGATCGGTATAGACTATGGTGTATTCAGGTAATGTTATGACATAAACTTATATGGCAGAACCAAGGTAGGAAACAATGAGCTACGCGTTGATATATTTGACATGTCTGGAAATCCTTCATTTTACGATATTCGAAATGAATTCTATAAAGATACAAATGGTGCTATTTTGACTTTTGACGTAACAAACAGAAAAACTTTCGAAAATCTGATTCGGTGGGTTCATGAATTGCATTTCGAATCCGGTGAAGCTAATTCGGTTTCATCTCCAGTCATAATTCTTTGTGGTAACAAGGTAATGCTACATTTGTCCATTACTGAGTTTACTTAAATTCGTCGAACCAGTTCTTTTTACAAATTTAGCTTATTTTACCTAGTTTGAATGCAAATATATGTCATGATGTTTGGTTGTACGATTTCACTCTGTGTATGTAATACCTAAAGTTAGGCATGCTAGGTTCGGCTTATATAAAAGAATGATCAGATCAATTTGTCGGGAAGTTGTTTCGCTTTATGACTTTCCATCCTTTTTCACAATTTTTACATATTTCTTTATGCTACGATGTAATTGGCTCGGTTTGTCTTCTCAAGGAATTCAGTAAGAATTGATGTGTTTCAGCACATTGACACATAGAATAGCTGTTATATAAATAATCTTATTGATTGTGTTAGTACGTTAATGTTTCCAGAATGCTTATCTATACTTTTTTGACGCTTTCTATAAGTATCATAGTTCTTTTGAACACATTTCACTCACTTATCTTCACAAAGTTTATCTTAAGGAATAAGTAAAAGACGCAGTCAGTTAGAAAAGTTGGAACTCACTGATGCACATATTGTAGTCATTTTCGTGAGGAGAAGAGCACTTTTCAACATGTTTCTACATCAGTGCTTATAATTATATCGAACAATCCCTGTTCAACTTAAGAGAATTGAGTTATTTTAAATATAATTGTGTTAACTCTTTTCAACAAGATCAGTCTATGAAGGTTTGTTAGATTCGAATGTAATTGTACTCCGCAGGTTGATAAAGCGCCAAGAGCAGTGAGTTATTATGAAGTATCTGAATGGGCAGCAATACATCAGTACCCATACCTTGAAACATCCGCACTTAGTGGTCATGGAGTTACAGAAACTTTTAATGTAAGTATCATTTTGAAAAATTCTTAAGCTGAGTCTTTTGTCAGGTTTATATTGGCTACATACAGATCAGTTATGTAATCTACTTTTATTTAAAAATTATATTATTGTGTGGCAGCTTCTTGTGTGTATATAAGTTAATCATTATATGTGGTACTAAACAAGTTGAAATCTTTCAACATTTTTTCCTTAAATTAAAGCTCTGATGCATTGGTATATAATTTAAGGATAAATTATAAACTCTGTCGCTCGCTACTTACTATAGATTTATACAACAGTTTGTGTCAAAAATATCGTATGATGAGATTTCGGTTTTATAATACTGATGTAGAGTAAATGTATTTTAGTCTTGAGAGTTTATTTGTTAGATTAATTAATAATTTAAATTACACATCTATGTTACCTGGACATTAGGCAGAAAATTTGTAGTTCCTTACACCCTTTGATGCATTTAACTGATTTAGTCTCATTACGTTATTACGTTGTAACTTTAATTAGCGTTCTACAATAAGTCTTGTGATTATTAAGTGTCTCAATTCATTTACTAAGGTTTCATGGTTCCAGTTTGTGTTTTTAGCACACTTTATAAAGGTCGATAGTAATAAATCTCCAGTTTTCTTATTTTGCTTATCATTAGTTTTTATGTCTTGATGTACAGCAACACGCGAATTTCCCATTTGTCCTGCATTAAACCACGCAGTAATAGTACCGTACGTGAGTAAATTCTGTAACACTTACTCTAGAGCTAGAGTAAGTTAAAAGTGCACTATTAATAATGTCTTTAAAATATTTCATTTATGTAATAAAGCCTGTGGATTATCATTGTTGTTATGACCTTGAATGTCTGACTTTTCGATCACACGATTTATCTACCAATCCGGATACGACTTATACGGATCTCTACACTAGGCCAACCAATGACGTTCAACCGGTGTGGGCAGTTTAGCGTCCTTATTGGTCCTATGTCCTACGAGCCCTTCCACTTGAGTCCAGAACAAAATACCAGCTTCCGAATCAGAGCAGATCGTTTATTTCAGGCATACTTGGTTTATATATCAATCATACAGACCGCAACGTACCATAAAATAGGAAATAATATTTGTACACAAATAAGCCCAAAAAGTGGCTGTGAATGTGGGAGGCAGTAGTTAATAAACTGAGCATAACTTAAGAACCGTAAATCGTACAATAATAAATTATAGGCCAAAATAAAGCTTGTCATAAGAGGGATATAAATATACATAATGTAATTGTTGAATAGTTATACAATAAGAATATTTATAGGATATTAGTCCATGAATAGTCCTCGGAAGTTACCTGTAATTTAATCTCCACTCGGATATAACACCTCCCCCTTTTTTTTTTAAGATTCCAAATTTAGATTCTGACTAAAAAAAAAGAATTATATGTGACTTTTAATTCTCCAACATTCTCCTCCTCCTCGGAATAATGTTGGATCCTTATGGCTCCAAATTACAACTAGTAGGACTTTATGTAGACCATGTTTCTCGTATTGACTGGAGAATCCACTAAGAATGACTAGATGATGATGAACGACCTTCGATCTGAGTTCATTATTTTCAAATTCATTATGAATCTCGTTAGCAGATAACGAGTCATTAAGAAAGTCAACGTCTAACAGAATTAAATTAGATTTTTGGCCATCATTCGACTCAGCTGACATATTTCCCTCATTGTTATAAGAAGATTCATCAAAATCATATGCATTATTCTGAGAATCAATACCTGGTACACTGTCATTAGAAATGGGATAAGTTGACTCAATATAAAATTCTGTCTTCCGGTGATTTTGAGTAACATCTGGTGCAATTTGGTTCATCGTGTTGCTCCAGTTATTTTCTGAATACGAGCCACCATAGCTTTCTCGACTAATAGCACGTGGACCACAATTTTGTTCGAGCTGAAGTTTATTTTCAGAGCTGGACAGAACCAGTAGCGTTTCATTTAATTCTGGACTCTGGGCTTCATCTACAGGATCTGGCTCCTGATCATCTGGTATTTTCACAACTTCATGTGCATTTAGCACAATATTGTCTTGCTGTGAGCCCGACAGTTTACCAGTATTACGTTTTCTATCTGGTATACAGGGATTTGAAACCTCCACGGAGTATGCCTCTGAAATGTCCATTACTGCACCATTATCTGTATCATAAATAGATTCCTTATTTTCTGGCTGAGTGAAAAGTCCGCCCAAAACTGTTTCAAATAGCTGTTGTTGGAAGGCCAACATCTTCTGCTGGTGCTGTAATATTAACCGCAACTCTTCGAAAGAAATCGACATTTTTTTTGCCAATAATATTAGCTCCAAAAATCACCGGCAATTTACAGCTAATTTATTTGCAAAATCTGAGTCACCACTTGTATTATTATTATTTCTTTGTTGCCAAAATCCCCGTCTCCAATTGTTATGACTTGAAAGTTGAGGGTTCAAAACTTTTCTCCACCCCGTCGCCAATTGTTATGTCCTTGGATGTCTGACTTTTCGATCACACGATTTATCTACCAATCCGGATACGACTTATACGGATCTCTACACTAGGCCAACCAATGACGTTCAACCGGTGTGGGCAGTTTAGCGTCCTTATTGGTCCTATGTCCTACGAGCCCTTCCACTTGAGTCCAGAACAAAATACCAGCTTCCGAATCAGAGCAGATCGTTTATTTCAGGCATACTTGGTTTATATATCAATCATACAGACCGCAACGTACCATAAAATAGGAAATAATATTTGTACACAAATAAGCCCAAAAAGTGGCTGTGAATGTGGGAGGCAGTAGTTAATAAACTGAGCATAACTTAAGAACCGTAAATCGTACAATAATAAATTATAGGCCAAAATAAAGCTTGTCATAAGAGGGATATAAATATACATAATGTAATTGTTGAATAGTTATACAATAAGAATATTTATAGGATATTAGTCCATGAATAGTCCTCGGAAGTTACCTGTAATTTAATCTCCACTCGGATATAACAATTGTCTGACTTGAAAATGCAGTGTTTGTAAAGGGATGCTAGCCAGTAATTCGTGTTGTGACCTCCTGTAAAATAAACCACCTCTTATTTCAACATGTAATATTGTTAGAATTAGATACGGGACAGGGATTGTTAGATACAATGGCGTAAGTCATAATTTAGTCACGAAACATACATTCAAAGTTGGTAAGAATGTATTAAACAAAATGATTCAGTTGAAACAAAATGAAATAGAGGGTCTAATGCTTTATTGGGAAGTAATAAAAATTTCTAAGGAGTAATAACTTCGGCCCACCATAACCGTTGGTGTACTCAACGCAATCATATATTTGAATTGCAACTACCAGAAAAATCTGAGCATTTCACTCAATTTACGACTTATCAACTGAATTAACTTGAATCTAAGAATTAATTTCCATACTCAAACTTGAACTCAGTATCTCTCTCTTTAAAGTTTAACGCTTCATCCCTTAAACAAGTAAGTGCACATCATTACCATCTTGTTCAATGGATATGATACTTATTAAAATGATTCGTTCAAAATGTACATATGACAACAAAGACTAATTAGAATTCATTCCTGAACATCAAAAACGGAAAAATACAAACATTTACGAAGAACTAATGTAACCAGTTGCTAACGTCTCAGTTGCGTAACCATTGAATGTACTTCAGTTACCCTCAATCAGACATAATAATTCAAGTCAGGTGTGTGCTATTAATTATGGTTGAACTTAAATTTCTGAGGAAATACATGTCAACAATTGGTTAACAATTTGGTTTAAATTTTCGAAGGGATAAACATATATTTGTGTAAATGAGTCGTGCAAATACTCTTGATTTGATTGGCTAATAACTTTATTGACTGGTATTAGTTATCCGTGAAGAATAAAAATGTAGATTATATCAAAGTTGTTTGTTCAAGAAAGGATTGTGTACCGACAGAGACTAGAAATATAAACAATAGGAATCTACAAATTAATCAACCAGCCATAGGGAATGTAGAACCCGACACAAATGTTCATTGACTCAAGTTGCTGCACAACATCAGTACAAGGAAATAAGGTTATCAAGAGAAATATCAGAGTATTTGAAGTAACTTTAATATCACTGGTAATAGAAACAATTAAATATTGGATGAATGAAAAAAAGTACTGGGAGATTTCAGAAATCAGAGTCTAACAGAAGACAGAATGAATTCCCACACACCATTGACAACAGTTTCGATTCCTATCAACCACTAGTTACAATAACCTTGTGAAGCCCAAGGAGGTAGTCTATACCCATTAACACAGCTCAGTCTAATGATCAATGATTTTATGGACAAGTGACATATTTTAGTTTTACCACCTTAGCTTTCTTCCAACCTAATCCTACATCATACAGTATCGCCTGTTGATGTACAGAATGACTGAATGTATGTAACACAAGTTTCGAACACATCAGTTGTTGATGATCCACTATCTCATCAGTCGATTTGTCACCTCTACCTAGTTATTTATTTATTTAAACATATAAACATTGGTACAAGGAGGCAGCAAACAGATATGCGTCACACAGGCCACTTGATTAAGGTTTGGATACTGACCGGGTTCCCAAACCGAAGCAGGTGGTTTCCTGAGGGGGCCACAACCGGAACCTTCGAACTAAAGGTCTGATCCCCAAGGTAGTGGAGCAACGTAAGGAGATGTAGTCACATTGTAGCCGGTGGCTAACAACTGGTTCATACGCCATTTGTTTCCTTAGGATCCTTGAGCCCATTTACATCATCGGTTTGGTATCAGGGTTTTCCGTATTCTCTTAGATAGATCCTCCATATCCACCAACCCGGTTAAAGCATCGGACATTCGCTTTTCATTCTCCTAACTTCGTGATCCTAGAAGACAGTGAGTAGGACTTCCCTGACAGTGGTTGTATGCACGTGACCATGTGAGAGCATTTCGAGAGGTAGAGCTTAATCTCTCCACTCTCAACCCTACCTGTTACCCTATCCCTAACCTCGGTGGTCCCAAAGTACACGAAGAATGCCTTAACGACCAAGTTTACTTTAAATTTGTTAATTTGAAATATGCGCATAATCCATTTTTTTCCTCTTTTGGTTGTATATTTAAAACAAATCTTTTTTCCAGACTTTATTTGAAAGTATTATTAATCCAGAAATCTATCAATCTTATATACCAAATCATGTTCATTTTCATCAAAATTCAAATAATCCTACATATCAAGAAATGAATTCTATACTTCATAATTCAACAATGAATATTCCAAAATCTAATTCAAAATTGAATCATTCATTTAAACAATTCAATATGTCTTCTTCACCATCATCAACCGCTTCATTTAAAACAAATCAAAATGAACCATGTAAAATGACATATCAAAATCTTTTAGAAATAAATCGTATTAAAAATGCTAAAAATAATTATGAACGATTAGGGATTAGTATGACAGCTAGTAGGTAAGTTTGTTTAGAGTTAATTAAGTAGTAAATATATATTTGTCATGTTGTTTAAAGTGATAAATAATGCTGATATTGATGCCTGTTTGAAACTTTCACTTCAAACATCAGAAACATTTTAATCAGTCAGTCAGCTACGATGTAAGACCAGGCATCAATATATGTATCGGTCTAAGTTGTCACATTTCATTAGCACCACAAAATAAATACTGAATTCATAGAAGTAGTTACTTCAATGGTACTAATGTGTAAAAGAAACATTGACATAAGATGGTTTACCTACCAGTAGAGAGTGATCCTGTAATATCATTGAGTAAATAATCATATATATTACGTATGCCTGAACACCGATCACTACGACACTCAATGCTGACTAGTGTTGGAGACAGATGGAAGAAAGTTAAGGGCGACCAAACCAAGAAGTGGCATCAGTCCAGAAAATCACTAACTTTAGGTTTGAGCCATGTTGGTAGATGCAGACTACTTGATTGAGGTCTGCGCCACTACCGCAACTAATAGTTGAAGACTCTGGGTGATATGGCTCAGAATCGATCATAAGGGTTCAGGTGTATACACTATTTGTCTTCCCTTAAACCATCGGATTAAAATTACTTTATGCCTTTCTTTCTACGAAAGAACTATGCTTTTTACCATATCTTATTCTTATATGCAATCTTTCTTTTACATATTACTACCATTAAAGTAACTACTTCTATGAATTTGGTGCTCATCTCGTTGTGCTAATGAGGTGTGCCAACTTGGACCGATGCGTATAATTGCATATATATATAGTCTAAAAAATCACTCATTCAATCAGTTGGTTGCTTATCAGTGGAGATCCAACGATTGGATTCAAAATTTTCGGCTTCTAGCCTCAGTTTGTTTGAGCACACCAACAAGAAAATATACTTTATAAAAAAGAATTCCAGAAGCGATGCTCCAGATAAGTAGTTGCAGTGTCGGTTACTATGTTAAGCCCACATAACTTATTCTGTCTTCTGGACAGGCCAATTTATCCATTCTTCTTGAGTCAAGTTTTGACTTCGTTAATTATTTTCTTATCAGCCTTGACGGTTCTTATATGAGCGTATGTGTGTTCACTTCTTATCCTGTTAATCACATGTCTGTAACATTTTTATTTGGTTATGAATATTGATTCGCGCTTAATTAAATCGAGTTGGTTCACATACATTCTCCACCGTGCATCAGTTCGTTTGGCATCGTTCCTTAGATCGTCTGCTTGGATCAATGATTATACAAAAACCATACGTATTCAACAATCCATTCTCATATTTGACTTATTTAATTCCGTTATTCGCTAAAGCGAGTTAAGTCGATAATTATATACGAGAATAACCAGGATGTATATTTCAGTCACATTCATTCGTACGATCTAATTGGAGTCAGATATAGGGTCACTAAACAGTATTTGATTTTGATCTTTATTATACTAGATCACTAACTAATATATCGTAACATCCTGATTGAATATAAGCCAACAGATATAAAGTCTTTCATATTGATATGAATGGAAAATTGGTTTCATGTCTTCATTTATTTACTTAACTTTTTCAATGTTGTTTAGCATTAGATATTTTGATTTACAGTGAAGTTATTGATATATTGATGATATAGTTATATTACCAAACAATTTGCGTTCGACCTAAACGCTGTTTACTTTGTTGTTCTTTTTCTTTTATGTTATGAAGTTGTTCGATTCTACAATAGATATACACGTTTCTTATACGCTGACCCAATCCGCTAAGCGAGTGAGAATGACTTGGAAACTGTGACTGAGTAACCGAATTAAGTGTACACAAATCACTGGTATATATATATATATACCCTTCTGACACTGACAAGAACATGGAAACTAAGACCATGACTCAGTGCATAGTTGGTTTAATCTAATGAAGTGCCTTGTTTGTATACTCTCATCTACCGTTAAACTTTGATGGTAGCGTGTGAGCACAGGAACTGGATGCTTGGACTCAACAAGTCTATCATCTGTGAAAAATAAAAATGTTAATTCATTTTTCTATTGTTTGTTTAAATCTTCACATTGATGTTTAGGACTGCAATTGATCAGTCTCTTATTGGCATTTGTGCATATTCTGCGTATTGCCTCGATATTGCGTTAATTCACAAGCATTATAAGCAAAGGTGGATGGTAGGTAGCAGTGGAATCTAGGACACAGGTTTCGTCTTATTTGGGACTCGTCAGTTGGACTAAAACTTCACACTATTGACAAGCGGGTAACCGTTTGTACTCAGTAGCTAAGTGGATAATGAGATGGAGTTTGAAGCGAACGGTACTGGATTCGAGTCCTTGAGTAGACGTCAACTCTGCGATGCGGGTACATCCGGCTGACGAAACGCGAGTCCCAGATTCCATTACCAACCGCCACCCATCTTAGCTTAAAATAAAATGTTGTAAATATATATCATGTTACATTAGAAAAGAAACATTACAGCTCAATCAATAAAGAACACTAGCAGTTACTTATCAAGAATTTTTTCTTTACTTATTTATTGATCTTAAGCGAAGAAATTCAAAAAGCATTTCGTCGTTTAGCCTTTATTGTACATCCTGATAAAAATAATACTCCAGGCAGTGAAGAAGCTTTCAAAATATTGGTAAAAGCAAAAGATTCTTTACTTTCATTATCAAATGGATCCAGTTGGTTCAGTTCTAAAGTTTAATTGTAGCGAATGTTTTGTTTTCTTCATAATAATTTGTTATTATTGACATTTCATAAACTGTGATACTTCTTGTGAATGACATCCTTTCTATGAATTATATGTAGGTTTGATTATTTTGATATAAAATATTAACTACTTGTAAGTAGGACAATTTATTTTGCTAAATATTTTCACCATGATTTATGTACTTATTATGAATGAAGTCTATTTGTACACTGAATATCAACAATACATATTCGTAGATTTGTATTTGCATTACCAGATAGAAATTGTTGTGATATACCATACTTTAAAGTATTACTGATCACTTCTAAAATTTGAATTGTAGGTTACTAAGAATACTTTTTTTGACATTAACGAATCTATACTGTTATATCAAGTGAATTAACCAAAGAGTAGTATTGTAACTAGGTGGATGATGTTCAATAAGCATTTCCTAGAGAGTATGAGATCAATTATTTTCCACTGAATGGTGTGAACAGGATTGTAAGTGTTGGGACGGCTTCTGAGAATTACAACGGAGCCTCAAGAGACCCTTAAGGAACCTAAGAGTTTCCATCTGACCAGAACGTGGTGGAGCTTTCTAGAATATCACTTTGGCATGCTACTATTGTACAATAGCATAGCCTGCCTCTTTGTGGATTGGCTTAATTATAATGTTGATATAACAAACGCTAATATCTACAAATATCCATGATCTTCTGTACATTTTAATTCTTACCCAACAAGCACTTCTTCAATCTTCTGATTTGTGACGATGGGGTTCTATACGTTCGACTGCCGTAGTTGTATATCGTATTCTGCGTTAATCATGTAGCGAACTTAACACTAAGCATAGAACAATCTGAAATATAGCTTGAATATTAATTAGATCTTCCTTATATGAAGTGATATTCAGTATGAAATCTTTGAAAACATACTAAATGTTAAAACATCCATATCTTCAACTATTCTTTAGGATAAACGTTAAACTAATTACTTCAGAATTAACTAACTGGATTGGGGACATGTGTTATGATTTTAGTTAATTGACGACATAACAAAACTTAATGTTTATTCTGAGATGAAGGAGAAGATTTCTAGCTCAAGTGGACGATTTTGATGAAGTTTTATTCTTTGAACTAGATCGTTTGATCGTGCAGCTTTCGTCGTTTCTCTGAACATCATCATCATCATCAGCACAAACTTCAAGTAGAATATAATTTTAATTGTTAATTGATAAGTTATATAATATCCCGACCGTTGTTGCTACCTTGACGTGGTGGTCGGGCTTGCCTATCGTGATGAAGCAACCGAGCTATACTGGCTGGAACAACCGTTCCTCAAGGTCCTACCATGTCAGACAGGTCGGTTGAAGAGCGATAAGACTAAAAGCAACAAACCTAAGGTCCGAAGGCGAAGTCGTACTGCTGACTGTACAGAGGTGTGACAGCAGTAAGGTGTTTCTTTCAGACAACCAGCATGACAACGATGCTGCCTTCCCACAAGGAGGGGTGGGGTTAGAAAAGGTCGACCCTAAAAATGCACACCTCGCCTTATCCCACGATATCCGTCTCCGGCGGTAAGGTCCCAACAAGTACGGAGCTAACACAAAAATTACCCATAAAAAGGTCGTGTGTGACCGACCTCAAGCAGTTGTCCCTTGGGCACTACGGTCACGCTCCCAGGTCACTAAGACCACGTCTAATCCAATTTCGTCTTCAGGCACCTCCAGAAGAACCTCCTCCAGTTATATAATATAACTGACATACAAATGATTGGATCATTGAATAATGATCGATATTTTTGTTTATCTAGTCTTTTATTGCTCATCGAATTCAATCAATCACGTACCAATATGATTATTAGTTTAAGTGACCTCAAACTTGATTGATTTATCTTAATTTGCACTGCAAACAAGATAATAAAATAATGAGGGTTAATGTTTACTTATCAAGCTTGCCGGTTAAAAAAAACTTTAATGATGTAGGTTCCATCATTTGAGTAATACAAGTTTATTAAAGTTTTGTAGGTTTCACCTCCCTTTTAGTTGTTAGCAGATATAACTTTCTATAATCTAATCTTAAATGTTTAACTGAATACTCGGGTATACAGTATTTTAATTTTATATCATCAATAAGTATTTATAACAAGTCCTTGTAAAGAAAAGAGAACATGTTTATGAATTTCGGGTTTATGAAGATCATTCATTTTTAAAGTTAACAAGTCATGGATTGACCCTAGTTAGTCAAACATTGAAAGCTGAAAAGCAATAAACTGCTGTTTCACCTTAGTATTAGACTCTTCAGAAACTCACATCTACCAACTCACTCTTGGTCGGATCAAAGATTTTAATATCTCTCGACAAGCACCTAACCCTTAGCCCAATGATTTACCTATTCAAACCAAAGATCGATTATCTATAGAGTCACAGATGTACACTACAAAGATTTTCATAGGCTTCCTATATAAATTAAAACAATTTATTATCTATAACCGAAAGTTATATAATAGTTGGAATCATGAGTCAATTGAAGGTAGACCACCACAGAAAACCTGGAAGCACTGGACAGTGATTTCGTTTCAGTATGGGACTCATTGAAGACAATGGTGGACGGTGAAGAAATTGCGTGAATTAGTTACCATTAGACATTATTACTGTTGGATTCCATGGCTCAGTGGTTTAGAGGTTAAGCATTTGTTTGCAAGACCGAAGGTACGGGGTTCGAGTCCCGCGTGAGGAATTGTGATTGCGTACTGCTGAGGAGTCCCACACTGAGAGACGGAACCACCGTCCAGTGCTTCCAAGTTTCCCATGGTTGTCTAGCTTCAATTGACTCATGAATTCAACTATTAAATTACTAAAATCTCCACAAACCCTCTTCCAGAGATAATATATATGATTATTGATTGAGTCAGTTGAAGCTAGACCACCATGGAAAACCTGGAAGCACTGGACGGCCGTTTCGTCCTATTGTGGGACTCCTCAGGTTTTCCATGGTGGTCTAGCTTCAACTGACTCATGATCTTAACCATTGAAATTACTACAATATCCACAAAAACCCATCTGATATTAAATATTGATTAGTTTATTCCTTATTTATGAATAAGTCATTAGGATTTGTTTCTTCAATTTTGAATACACACATTACCAGTTACTAAGTGAACATACACGCACACACACAAATATATATTCGTTTGACTTTGTGCATTAATGATGATGTCGATACATAATTGAATGTGATGAAGAGGGAAATATAAATTATGAAGGACATGAAAAATAAGGAAGGTGATAATGACAATGATATTTAGTTTAACGAACAAAATAAAAGTATGTAGCAACTGTTGATCGTATAACTATTGGATACATATCGTGGTAGGTAGGTGTGGTAGATAGGTAGATAGTGAGGTAGGTTAAAATAGATTAATAGATAAGTACGTAGATTAGTTGATTAGGGAACACATATGTCGTATAACTTTGTTTTAATGTTGTATACAAATAAATGGATTTGGCAAAGTATATGAATATAAAAATAGTTCATGGATGTGATAAAAATCAGTAAAAAGAATTATACAAGTAAAACAACATTAAATGAATTTAAACTTCACCCCATTGCACAAGCAAGTGGCTATCAAGACTCAATAGCTAAGTGAATAACGCAATGGCGTTTGAAGCAAACGGTACTGGGTTCGAATCTCACAGTGAACATCAACTCTGGGGTGCAGGTACATCCAGTTGACGAGTCCTAAATAGGAAGAAATGCACGTCCTGGATCCCACTGCTAGCCATTATCCATCTTTATTTATTAACAATAATATAAAACCCAACCGGTCTAAAACACAAATGACCTCAGTCGAAAACACTTTAAATGGGTAACGGTTTTAAGGGTGATAGTGCTACAAACGTGCTAAAGACGAAAATTTCCAAGTCTTTGAATAGAACGTTCTTTTCAGCAATGTCGCAAATATTGTTTTCCGGTCGATCGTTGTTCACCAATAATCTGAAGGATAAGTTATCTCATCTGACCAACTGTATGTACATTTATCAATTTACCTGCTCCAGGTTTTCCATGGTGGTCTAACTTCAATTGACTCATGATTTCAACCTGTGAAATTTCTAAAAATCTTCACAAAACCCATTCTGGTAAATCAATCAATTAAGACCTAACTGTTAAGTGTAATTCTTGAGCATCGTATCGGTAATACGTAAATAATATGTCTAGAGAATAATCATCATTGAATTTCATCAACATAGATTTCAAACAACAAAAATACATATTTTAATGTTGATTTTACAGTTCAAATATCTACTGGACATGTAAATGCGTTGGGGATAATCGACAATAAACTCTATCCGACTAGATTTCGTGCTAATTGATATTCATCATAAAAAGATACTTGTAACCCTGGGGAAATCAATACTCTGTGAGATTCGAACCCAAGTCACTCAACCACACACAATAACAGACGTCACCACTGAGATATTCAGTTGTGAATGATCTCTAATAAAACTGAGATGTATTTATAACCAATTCGTCGATGAGTAGTAGTAACCAGTGTTATGTTTATTTAATTCTTTAGTGTTGATCAAATCCCATCGATATGCTGAATAACGCATAATTTGCGGTAACTAGTTATCGCTAATTCAAAATTAATCATTACTATTCAAAAAGTTTATCTCTGATCTATTAATGTTGATTTATTAACATTAAACTATGTTAAACTGTGGGTTCGAACCATGAACCTATGATGACGAAACAGATTTAAAAGGAAGAAGCTCAAACCAAATAAGTTGAATAAAATCATACAAGCGAAGAAGGATAGCGGATAACAGTGGAAACCAGGATGGGCATTTCGTGGCGAGACTACAATTTATGGACGAACCAATCAGATTTAGTATAGCAGGTCTTGGATTTTAGCGCAAAATTCATACTCATTTGGCTAAATACTATTTCGGCATTATAGCTGATTACAGTTCGTGACGAAAACCTTAAATCTAATTTTTAACATTAACCACCAACTGTAAATCATAATTCTAATTTCTCACACTACTTTATAATCCCCATTTAGTCCTAGTTGGTAGGTGGCTGTTTTCAAGGTCATTCTAGAGACTTTCAAAGGTCGACCATAAATTATTGTTTCACCCGTTTCGTCCTATTTAGGAATTGTCAGCTGGATGTACATGCATCTCAGTGTTAATGTTCACTCTGACACTCGTACTCCAATTGACGAGTCCTAAGTAGGACGAA